AGCCCTTCCCCCCGGAGAGAGAGGCCGGGACCGCGTTGGGGGGCGGGGGCGGGGCATTCGCGGTTCCCTCTTCCACCCCGCAGCCGGGTGCATCGTTAAGTGTGCCCTCTGTGCGTTTTCCTGGCTGTGTTTTGGAATCCCAAAGAGGTCCTTACCCCCATAGCGGAGGAATTGGAGGGAGAGAGGGTCCCGTGTGGATGGGAGGTTGGGTGGAGGCGGGGGAGGGACTCTGAGCCACCCCGTTCTCATCTTTGAATGAGACCGAGAGAGTATGGTGGGGTGAGGGGGCTGACGTGGCTCAAGGGGAACAGGTGGCCTTTTTAGTCAACTTCATTTGAATTTCGGTTCCAGCTGTGCGGTCCTGGGCAAGTTGAGTTTCTTCCCCTGGACCGCGGGCTACATGCCAGGGCTGTGCTGGGAGTTGGGGCGTTTCTATGGAAAGCGTACCTGGCCAGTTCCTCACCCTCTGCCCTCTGGGTTACGGTGTCTGCGTGGGGCTCAGGACATCAACCTTAGCTGTTACAGTTCTTCAGGGAGGGCTCACTCATTTCAGGGGTCTGTGCCAGTCCCAGGCACTTACCCTGTTAACGAAGGTGTGTGCGCCACCTGTGGATCGGCTCAGGGCGATAACCCGAGGTCCTAGCTGCAGGCTTCACTGATGCTGCACTTGCCTAATGGTGCCTCTGCCTCCCCACCGCCTCACCTTGGGCATCTGAGGTTTCTCTGGGAGAGGCAGAGCGGCACTCCCATGCGGAGCCCTTTTGCTGGGTGGAGTCCGTGGAAAGTGGCCAGTGAGAAAACCTGAAAACAGTTCTTCGTTTAGGAAGCAGTGAAACACAAAGAAGAAAAACTCATCCACTGTGTCACCACTTAAATTAATAAAATGTCGTCATCCTTTCTCCCCTCTGTCACTGCCCCCATGGTAACGGCTCTCCTGGGCTTATAAGTAAACAGCCTTTTAGAAATGTAAATTTCTAAATTATCTTATACTGACTGGTTTGCAACGCTTTGCAACTCTTTTTCATCTCTCTCATGACCTTTCCAGATCACATCGCTTATAAATCAATCTCATTCTCTCCAAGAGCTACGGTGTGCTCTTTAAAGTGTGTGTTTCATTATTTATGGACAGGACTCTTACCTAAACTTCCCCCTCCCCCCCAAATTGATGGGCAGTTAGCTTGTTTCCCGCGTTGTTTCTCTTTCTCTTTTTCTGTTCCAAGTGAGGCCTCTGTGAACATCTTTGTTCCTGTTTCTTTCTGCACATATGTGATCAAAGCATATGCATCCTTTACTAGATGCTCACGGTTGTCCTAAAATAATCAAGTTGAACTAATGCACACCCCTACCTGCAGTGGCTGATACTGCCTGTGTCTCCTCCAGTGACACCTGAGTCCTGATGCTGCAGGGTGGGGGCGAGGGCAGCAATACATCCCTCCAGCGGTACCAGGGATGGTAACCTCTCAGGGGTGTGATGGCTGGTTAACAGAGAATTGTTTCCTGGGATTTTGTATAATATCCTGTATGGGCCTAACATGTGCAGAAGAGAGGAAAACTCTCCTGCTTCCTGGAGCTGGCTCCTGGAGTCCCAGAAGTTTATTTTTGAAGAGAAGGGCATGAAAAGTAGAAATGGTGAAGCCTCTTGTTGAACCTCAGTCATGTTTGTATTTATACCATCAGTCATTTTACAGAGTTACCGAGGGAAGATGAGAAACAGGAACAAGAAAGGGATTTCGAGGCGCTTTCTTTCTTTTTTTTTTGAAAGCAGATGCAAAATGGAAATTGCCTGTGATGGCTAGGTGCGCCTCCCCGGGGGTCAAGGCCTCGGAGACCTCCTCGCTTTAGATGCTGACCATCCAGCTCTGGAAGCCCGGGTCGGGAGCTGGCTGCATTTAGATGGTTAATTCCAAGGATCTTGTGGCTTCGACAGGATGTCCTTCCAGGTCTTGGCCAGAGACAGCATGAAAGGCTTGTTCATGGTGGAGTCAATCTGCTGGGCTTTTGAGCTGGAAGGAACCAGAATCCCGGGATGGTTAAATCCCAGGGCCTCCCAGAGCCAGAGTCAGACAGGTTTAATGAAAAGTGGAGGTGTGACATGGTGAGTGTTTCCCCTGAATGCCCTCCGGCACATTGGACTTGAGTCCCGAGAGTGGGAAAGTCCAGAGTCTGCATGGTAGAGAGCTGCGGAGCTGGGACCAGGTGCAAACCCTGGTCCTGCCACTTTCCAGCTCTGTGACCTTAGACATGGTTCTGTCCGGCCCAATTCTGCCGTGGGATTCTGATGGTAGAAGGCAGGTGCTGAAGGAGTGGAGGTGTGGGAATCCAGACCAGTGTTCTCATCCTGGTGCGTGAACCTTGTCTGCATGACCTCGATCACATCATTTCGCTCCGTAGGGCTTGTTTTCACTTCCTGCATTTCTCCTTGAGATAAATGAGAGGAACCAGGTGTAGCAGGTGCTGGCACCTGGGAGGGCCAATCAACAGTTACTGGGTGAGAGTGGCCATGGGCACCTGGCTTCTCCCCTTGACCTTGGATTAGAGGGTGAAGAGGCGGGAGGCTCACCTCAGGCAGAGTTCTTGGCATATCCTCTTAGTCCTGCTGCAGGGCCTTCACTTAAGCCTGTTCCTCTGCCCAGAACACTGTTCCCTCCTGCTTCATTAAAAAAAAAAAAAAAATTAGATTCAAAAGCTTTCTCTGAGTCCTCTAAGCTCCTGGCCTACCCCCAGACTAAACTCAGGGCCCCTCCCCAGTAGCCTCTCTCCACTCCCCCCTCATTTGCTTACTAGTCCCAGCTTAGTGCTTGGCAGAAGAGTTGACCCTCAATTAAGGTATTGATTAGCTGGCTGATTAACATTACCTGAGGCCCTGCTAAATGCTGGGGGCTGCGTATATAGTGTAGCTTTCATCCTTCCAGCACCCCTTCAGGGTAACACTGTTATCCCCATTTTACAGATGGGGAAACTGAGGCCCTGAGTTTGAGCATCTTGGCAGGAGACTCTGGGCAAGTCAGAGCCAGAGTAGAGGCCAAGACAGCTTGGCTGGCAATCTGCCTCTCTGCGGAGTAACAATGGTGGGCTCCTACAGGGATTTGGAGGGAGAGAAGGAGGTAAGGAAGAAACACAGAACAACTGATGGCATTAGATTCAGCAGTAGCTAACTCCCAGGAGCTCTGACTTTGCATCCTTGTTTTAAGGGCCAAGACCAAGCATGTCTAACTCCTGGGCTGGTGGGCCGCATGTCTGACATGCTTGGCCCAAGACATACTTTCTGGCTTAATCCTCACAAGGACTTTTCATCTATTTTCCTCTTTACAAGTGTGTAAATGAGGCCCTAGAGATTTAAGTGACCTGGTGTAGGGCCAGCCTTAGTTCAAGTCCCCTCAGAGTGGCAGGCAGTGTGTCTTGGATGTTTGGGGGTTGAGGGTGTGGAGCAAGGGCCCAGGGAGAGACTGCAGGGTTGAGCAGAGGAGTGACATGATTTCACTCCTCTTCTGAAAGCGTTCTTCTGGTTACTGGCCTATGAGTTGTCTGTAGGAGGCGGGCAGAAGCAGGGAGACCAGTTAGTAGGTGTTTAAAATAATCCTATATAATAAAAGCCTAATATGCAAATTGTTGAATGGTGGAATGACTGGTGGAATGACCTGTCGCTATGATGTACACTGACCACCAGGGGGCAGATGCTCAATGCAGGAGCTTCCTCTAGCCCGCAGACTCCAGGCCAGCCAAGGTGGGTACGAGCAGCCCCCTCTCCCCTGCACCCTTTCTCCCCCCCACACACACCCCCTGGCATTGCCCCACCTGTCATGGCAGCAGCAAGGGCTGGGGCCAATGAGTGGGTGGTGCCAGGCCAGCCAAGGTGATCACCCCATCAGTTACCCCACAGATCAGCTCTGATCACCAGCTAGGCCTAGGGACCCTACCTGTGCATGAATTTTATGCACCAGGCCTCTAGTCCAAGTATAAGATCTTGGAAGAACCCATGAGGGGTGAGATGGGTTTCTGGATTTGCTCTTGGATTTGGTGTGGTTGTGAGAGAGGCCAGACGAGGAAGGCCCTGAGATTTGGGGCCCTAGCACCTTTCTGGCCACACTATTCACGGCCACTAGAATCTTCTCCTAAACATCGGCTGTTCCTGGGAATAGGTGGTGATCAAGATCACCTCCTGTATGCTGAGCTTTGCTGGTGACACCGCATTCCAAGCTTTCTACCCTGTTTCCACGAAAATATGACAGTGTCTTATATTAATTTTTTCTCCCAAAGTTGCGCTAGGTCTTATTTTCAGGGGATGTCTTATCTTTCCATGCGCTAGGTCTTATTTTCGGAGGATGTCTTATTTTTGGGGAAACGTGGGTAAGAAAGGAAGCTCTGAGGCTTGCAGAGGTCCCACAGCCTGCCCAGGGCCACAGAGTCAGCAGGAACCTACACCAGCACTTGAACTTGGGGCTGCCGGGGCCTGAGGTTTTCTGCCCTGTTGGCCCCATTTCCATGCAGAGGTCTCCACAGACACATTCTGAAGTTTTGTTCTCTTTCTTCTGCTTCCAACTTTGTTTAGGAAATAAAGGGATGGTTAGAAATTCCTAGGCAGGATAGAAAAGGATGCCAGTGTTGGGGATGAGGGCTGGGAGCCAACCTGGGCTGCTTTGACTATTCAAATATTCCACAGCTTGAAAGTGTGTGGGGCGAGAGGGGCTCCCAGCCAGGCGGGGGCGATTTGGTTATTCAAAGCCTGGGTGGTGGTTGGGCCATTGAGGTCAGGGGTGTCCTCCCATACCTCCACTTCCATTTAAACCTCCGTGTGGGTCTGAGCGGCCAGCACTTCGCTGCCACCGGGATCTCCTCCTAACACTCGTCCTCGTGGGCATGAGACAGGATTTGGCTCTGGAAGTCCAAGCCCTGTGACCTAAATCCTCCTCCGAGAACCAACTCCCAATTCACACTCCTCTGTCCTGCCCTCCAGCCTCCCTGTTCCTTGCGCCTCCTTCTCTTCCCTGGAGTGGCCAACCATGACCACCATGGTCAACGTGGACGCCCTTCCGGAATATGAGAAGAGTCAGATCAAGAGAGCCCTGGAGCTGGGCACCGTGATGACCGTGTTCAGCTTCCGCAAGTCCACCCCGGAGCGCAGGACCGTCCAGGTGATCATGGAGACGCGGCAGGTGGCGTGGAGTAAGACGGCCGACAAGATCGAGGGCTTCCGTGAGTACCTGCTGGGCGGGTCGGTGCGGCCTGCCTCCCCGTGGCCTGGCCTGCGCGGTTTCTCACCTTCCTGCCTTCACTCGTCACTGCCGTTGTTGTCTTGATACCTTCTCCTGTTCTAAAAATGGAAATGTGGCCACTTTGTCTGGGCCTCTGATGGGGTTTAGAGCAGGTGGGACAAGTTCAGCCCGTGTCTTCTAAGGCCAACTTGGAAGTGACACCCAGACAGCTCACCTGGGCCAGCAGGGGCTGTGCTCAGTCAGATGGCATCAGGGTCATGGGGTTCCTGTTGCTGGCCAAGCTCTCTGCCCTCTTAGGGACTAACAGGCCAGAGTTTGTGGAAACTCAGAGCTTGGTGGTGAGGTATATGTCTGTCTCATTTCACTGCAAACCACAGGGTGAGAGGCCTTGACTGTAGCTCATGTGGACAGAGCATGCTCTGCAGCTTTCTGATGAGGTTCTGGTTCTGGTGGAGGTGTCTTCCCTTCCCCACCCCCCTTAGATTAGGCAATTGGCTCAGTTCCTAAAGTTTCTAAGACTGTTTTTTAACAGAGTGAGGAGACTTAATTAAGCAAGTTTCAGTTGCAGAGACTTGCTTTAATTTGCATTTTTTAAATTGACTACTTAAAAAAAAAAGTTAATCCTCACCTGAGGAAATTTTTTTCCCATGGATTTTTAGAGATAGTGGAAAGGAGGAGCGGGGAAGAGAGAGAGAGAGCGAAACATTGATGTGAGTGACACATTGATTGGTTGCCTCCGCACACACCCTGACGGGGGCTGAGGTTGTAACCCATAACTCAGATACATGGCCGTCACCAGGAATCGAACCCATGACCCTTTAGGGCATGGGCTGATGCTCTAACCACAACAGTGGCCAGAACTTGACTACTTTTTAATTGAAAAATTGAAATGTATACTTGGGGGGAAAAACAAAAATAAAAATATCATAAATAAATGTTTCTCTTCCTCAGCCTTCATCCCATGCTGCACAAGCAAGCTCATTGTCAAATTTATCTTCCAGAAGTACTCTATGCTTGTGTTTTTTTGCACAAGTGGGTACCTACTGCATACACTTCTGCACCCTGGTTTATTTTCTTTAGATTTAATAATTATTTTGGAGGTGGTTTGTTATCGGCACGTTGATGTGCCTTTTAGGGCCACATAGCATTCTGGCTGCCGGTAGCAGTGTAACCCCTGGAGAGGGACCTGGACTGTTCCTGGTCTTTTGCTATCTTTGCATTCTTCCTCTTCTCCTTCCTATTCTTCATCTTGTTCCCCTGCCCCTTCTCCTTCTCCTTTTAGTTTTATGATTCACGCACCATGCAATTCACACACTATACAATTCATTTAACATCAACAACTCCATGGTTTTTAGTGTATTCACAGATATGTGCAACCACCACCATAATCAATTTTAGAACATTTTCATCACCTCAGAAAGAATCCCCAAAGCCATTAGGCATCACCCTCTGTTCCCTGTTCTCTCCCTGCTCTAAGCAACCACTCGGCTACTTTCTGCGCCTCGGGATTTCCCTGACCTGGACATGTCCTTTAACTAGGATGGTGGCCTTTGTGTCTGGATCCTTCCACTCATGCTTCCAAGGTTGGTCCACCTTGTAGCATGTGTCATGCCTCTTTTGCCTTTTTATGGCTGAATACTATCCCGTTGCATGGATCTTCCACCATTTGTGTATCCACTCGTTCACAGAGTTGCTTCTTCTGTTTGGCGATTGGGAACAGCGCGGCCATGAGCATTGATGTACACGTTTTTGTGTGGCTGCATGCTTTCGTTTCTCTTGGGTAGATTCCTAGGAGTGTTGTCTGTGTTTAATCATTTTAGGAACTGCCAGACTGTCTTCCAACTGGCTGCACCGTTTTACATTCCCACCCGCCGTGCATGAGGGTTATCCGTGCATTGTATTTTCTATACCTGTATGGGGATATCCGAAGGACAACTTCCTATTAGAGTGATTTCTGAGTTAAAGAGTATTAATTGACTTGGGAATCTGACAACACCCCACAGCAGCCCATGCGTTGTGTGAGAGGACCTGTTCCCCACACGGTGATGGGGTTCTGAACGGGGCCATTCACAGGTAGTCAGGTGGCTTGGTGCCATTCTTCATTTGATTTCTCTTGTCATGGGTGAGAGTAAACAGCTTCTCCAAGGTTGCTCCTGGCTTTGGAGCCAAGGGGGCCTCGGATGGCCCAGAACCCGAAGCCCTGCTTAGAAACTCTGTGGAAGCAGCCAACTTCCTTCCCATCTCTGTTTGCTTTGGCCACACTCAACCTCTCAGGCGGCTCAGAAACCTGTTGCGGCTGGGGGGATGGGGAGGCTGCAGGGCACGTGACAGGTGTGCCATGCCGAGTGGATGGGTCCTGCTGGCCATGAGAAACACCTGGGGGCTTTCGAAAGTCTAGGCTGCTGGAACCTTCTCCAGAAACCCGTTCTGAGGGGCACCAGACAGGACTTGGCTCCTGAAGTCCATGCCAGGTAGTTCTCCTCTCAGTTAACTGAAAGCAATTTCCCCTTCTCCCTGGGGTGGCTAAGGATGGTGTCACTGCTGAGACTGGTTGGGACTGAGCATTGTAGTTAATATAAGGTGACCAGACGTCCTGCTTTTGGTGGGACAGTCCCGATTTTTAACAATTTGTCCCGGGTCCCACTTTAAAACAGTCCCAATTTTTGGAAAGAATCTTTCAAAAAATCAAGATATTTTTAAAACGCCATGGGACGCAGGACAAATTGTTAAAAACCGGGACTGTCCTGCCAAAAGCGGGACGTCTGGTCACCTTAAGTTAATAGACTCCCAGTTGATCATGGTAATTAGCTAGGTTTGACATATACTCCCTCCTTTCTTCCCTCTCTCCCTCTCTCCCTCCCTCCCTCCCTCCCTCCCATTTTTGAATGCCTGCCCTGTCAGGCCTGTTCTCGGTACCGGAGACACAGCAGTAATTAGATGACACTCACCTTCTCGTGGAGCCTACGTTGTGCCACTGAGTCGAGCAGCGTTCGGTGTGCTTTGCTGTGTGACCCTGGGCAAGTTACATCTGTTTTCTGAGATTGAATTCCCTTTCCTATAGAATGGCCATAGGTGTGCACTCCACACAGTGAGAGCTGGGAATGAGTGAAGGAGGGAATGTGCCAGAGGGGCTCAACGCAGCCGCCTGGGATGAGCGTTGAGCCCTCTGGCGCTGCTGCCGTTATGTTTGCCTGTAGTTGTAACCAGTGGCCGCCAGCTCTGTGGGTGGCAGTCTGGCTCAGGTGTTGGGACACTGTCTGGTGGGATCCACTGAAGGGTTTCAAGAAGAGGGTGATGTGTCCCATTTGTGTAGTTGATCGTGCTCTGGCAGTCCTGTGTGAGGCGGCTGTGTTGGTGTGTTTGTGAAGCGACAGGAAAAGCCAATTCTGGGGTAAAGAGCTTAGGATGAGCGAGCAGGCCTTTGGGCCCTGGGCGGGGACTCTTAGGGCCATGTTTTCAGCCTCCTGTTGTCAGTGAGATGCCCCGAGGGGATTCCCCCCCCCCCAGGGTTCTTTAGGGTCCTAATTAGCAGGGACTGCAGGTGACTGTGAGGTCTGCACGGGGCAGGCTGGCATGAGGGAGCATGCATGTGGGTGTGGGGCATGTGGCATGTGACTTCTGGCAGGTGTCACACTCTCCATGTGGGCCTGGCTGAGGAGGCCAGACTCACACAGATCCACTGTCCAGAGCAGTGAGGGCTTCTCTCCACAGGGCGATTCCCCCGGGCACTTGGCAAATGTCTATAGACATGTTTAGTTGTGATGATGGAGGGGGAGAGTGCTCATGGCATCTAGGGAGTGAACCAAAGCCAGGGATGCTGCTGAACGGCTTACAGTGCACGGACAGCCCACTACAAACCAATCCCAGCACAAAGTGTCAGTGGTGCCAAGATGGAGAAACTGGACCGGGAGCTGTTTGATGAGTTCGGCCCATATTTGCTATCCTATTGGGATCTAGGCTCTGCTGAGTTGGGGATGGGGTCCTGGCCCTGGAGGGGAAGCAGACTCAGCCACCAGCCAAGGGGGGATTGCATGTCACCCCCACAGGGAGGGTCTGCACTGGGTGCCTGTGAGGAGGACTGGCTCTGTCCTTTGGGCGGGGCAGGTGACGGGAAGTGGGAGAGGCCTCACAGTGGAGCAGAGGCCTGTGTGGGGGGACCAGGGAGAGGCTTGCTGGGAGGCCAGCAGGAGGGTCATCCCGAGTGGGCTCAGTGGCTGCCATCGCATCTGAGCGAGGAGATGTGTGGGCCTGAGGTTTGGGCTGGGTAATTCCTCCATTCTTTGTGGCCTGGGCTGTGGCTGTTTGGCGGTACTGAATTGGTATTTCCCCTGGGCTGGGAGGTTCCAGAACCTTCGCTCACACATCCGCTGCCTTGGTGGTAATGCTGGAGGACCGGGCTCAGCCAGATGTTTGACCACCAGGCCGTCCAGGGGAGCTGCACTTGGGACATGGCTGAGGGCGGGGGTGTGTTTCCAGGGGCCTGGGCAGGGGCTGCAGGCCTGAGCCTCAGAGTCCAGCCACCTGCACCAGCTCAGGTCACTGCGGTGGCTCAGGTTCATGAACGCGGAATTTCCCCTCTCCCTTCCTCTCTCCCTAAAATCCATAAAAACATATCCTCAGGTAAGGGTTAAAAAAATAAGAAGTAGAATGGGGAATTTCCTCGTGGAGAGAAAGTGGCACGCATGCCTGTCCAGGAAGGGAAGACACTGATGGTGAGCACCTGGGAGTCAGCCACCACGAGCACACCAGGGTTCAAATCCCTGCTCTGCCCTCTGCTAGGTGTGTGATAAGCGAGATAATGGTTGTTCCTAACTTACTGGGTGAAATGAAATGGGTTTATTTATTTATTTAAAAATATATTTTATTGATTTTTTACAGAGAAGAAGGGAGAGAGATAGTTAGAAACATCGATGAGAGAGAAATATTGATCAGCTACTTCCTGCACACTCCCTATTGGGGTTGTGCTCACAACCATGGTAT